GGTACAGGTTTTATCAGAATAATGTTGATTGAAAAATTATTACGAGGATGTCCTGGCATAAACTGCATTTACGTTTTGATTCGTAGGAAAAAAGTTAAAAGTGTCTCTAAACGAATGGAAGTAATTGTCGAAAATTCGGTGAGTCCTTCATTTACAATCGATTATTATTTTTATCTTGTGATTAGATTTTCATTCAACTCTATGATTTTATGTCTTCACTGAATAGTATTTATATTTAATACATTTAATAGATACATTTAAGAAGTCAAAAATTGATAAAGAATTTTCAAAAGTCTTCTTCCTTCTAATAAACCGCATTAGAAAGTGGTAGCAGTAAAGCATAATAGAAAGTACGATCCTCAATTGTTTGTTTTCTGTGTCTTTTCTAAAGTTAACGTTAAAATTAATATTTAGACGGAAAATATTCTCTACTTCTCTTATATAATGACTTTGATGGAAGTCATGTAAAAAATTGCAATGAAATACGTTTCCAAATTTATGAAAAACAATCAAAAACGTTGGTTTAGAAAAAGGTTTCCAAAGTCGAACAGACTTTTTCTCATACATTAATACATTCACGATCAAGCGTATAAAGCGATATGAACAGCAGGATACCAAGTTTAATTTGCAAATATCTATTGCTGAATACCGCAATGATTTGTTATTTAAATATGTATTCATATAGGAAATGTAGCTTCTTGATATCATACTTTCAATTAATTTTTGCTTAAAATTTAAACGGGAAGTTAAATATTGGATAAAATATTACAGGAAATATTAAACTTAGAAAGAGTTACTTATATTGATGAAATTTATATTTAGCAAACGAATATACTGAATTTTCTAAGGCAAAACTAAATAACATATTTACAGATTTGTTTCAGCTAATAGCTTTACATTGTATAAATAATAACTAGAAATTGTGCACGTTTTATAACGAAATTAAATCAAATTAAACGAAATTGAACAAAAAATTTACCAATAAAAATTTAATATTTTAATAATAATGTTCTTTCGATATAATGCAATTCGATAAAACTTATATTTTACTTTACATCTATGATTATTTTTTCAAAATCTGAAAATAAATGTTGTAACACTGCGATTTCACTTTTTGCTGATAATCAAGGCATAAGACTACGTTAACGGACTCGAAGCATTAAAACTGTCTAATAAAAATGCATTTAATATTGATAAATAAAATAGACTTCGATTATGTTAAAGAACATAATCACATTTGAAAACATAAGAATATTTAAGCAATTAAGTATGATAAGGCTAAATCTTAAAAGATTGTTAGTTTTCTTTTCACAAGCCTAATAAATATATCTATATTTTTTCTATACATTTTTTATTGGTTAAACGCATCAGAGTTATTTTAGGTACTTTAGCAGATTTCTTGAATCCAACTTTCTTTTTTTTCATCGATCGTATCGTCATTGTTCTCTATTCATGTTTCTCACATTATTTATAATCTAAAAATAATAGAAAATAGTTTGACAGCATAAAAAAATTTGGTAAACGATTTTTAATGCATTAAGATACTCATTCCTTGGAGAGAGAATTCTTAACGAAACATGTCGATATTTACAATTACCTTTAAGACACTGTCGAAATTATATATAAATAGTTATTTGCTGTTTATTTCTATAAATTAGAAATGAAAAAAGTATAATTTAGAAATTTAGAAATCAAATACTAGGGAAGAAAATATAAGATGACACAAATTCATAAATGACAAAAATAGAAATCAACTCGTAACTTATCAATGCTTAATAATAATAAAAATAAATTCGAGATTAGATAGATTCATGGCTTTATTCTGCACTAATATATACACTTTTCAATGCTTTCAACATTTGTTTAACAAAGTGTGTCGAAAATACGACATAGGATCCGACTTTTTAGTCACTCCTCTATTAATAATACATAGGTGTATATGTGGGACAGGAAATATTTATAAACCTAACAATGCACACTTTTCAGTTATTTAACACGCTGAGAAAGCAGCAGCCAGGATTCCAAAATCGAATAGTAGCGATCGAGGGTGACTGTAGTTTGCCGAATCTCGGTATTTCGACAACCGATAGAGCTAAACTCATACGAGAAGTCTCTATTGTTTTTAACGTTGCCGCTACTGTGCGGTTCAACGAGAATATTAAATTGGCGGCAGCTATTAATGTTCAAAGTCTGAAGGATTTGATACACTTATCTAAGGAAATGTCGAAACTAAAGGTACGCATTCTATTCTTTGTATGAGTGCTAATAACTCTATCATCAATCTCTATTTCGGTTACTTTTTATGATAAGAGGAAGAAATCAATTGTTTGTTTCAAAGAAACGCATTATTGTGTGACTCAGTTCCTTCTCTTAGTCACCGAAATTTTTCCAATCGAGGAAATTGACGCTTCGCGATGAAATTATTCAACAAATCTCTTTTATATTTTATTGTTTGTAAAATTCAAATACGGATAATAAAAACGCTTCCTTGACAAAGAATTCACAAGTATTATTATACCTATATATATGGGCATATAAATAAGCTATGAAAAAAAATGCTTCGTGTAGAGGAGTGTAGCATTGAACGTTTCATACGAAATTAATAAATCGATAAGGATTATTTATAAGTATACGCTAATTCAAGCAAAAGATAATTTTTTCAAAAAAAAAGAAGAAATGTTAAGAAAAATAATTTATTAAAGCTATAAAATTGTGAGCAAAAATTCATATCGAGTGTATATTTTCAAAGAAATTGTAGTCGTCGCAGCGTGATAGCTGAGATCGAGGGGTGACCAACAATTTATGATACTGTGACCTTGTCGAGTCGTTGCGCAAAAAAATTATTATAAAATTTAGTCAGTTAGTAGATACTTGCACGCCTGGATAATATCGAATGTAATTTAACATGACGGACATGGTCGGACTCACTATTTCAATCAATAAATGTTAAGATTTATCTATCACATTTCGAATACATATATCAGTATGTATCCCTATTTAACAAATTTTCTGTGACGTCAAAAATTTGAAAAAATGATTCTGAAAAACAATTGATTAAAGTATGTTCCTTTGAAGCAAAGAATTAGGTTCTCCGTTATTTCTTCGCATCATTAAAATTAGCAAGGAATTGTTTCGTTACATGGTTATTGAGACAGCCTGCACATATTATTAATTATGTAGATCTTTAATTGAATGATCTGACTCTAATAAATGTTTGTTATCTTTTATATTATAGAGTTTCGTCCATGTATCAACGGTTTATGCCAATTGTCTTCAAAATCAGATCGAGGAGAAATTTTATGATTCACCTATGAATGCCGACAAATTCATCGCTTTGATGGAATCTATGGATGAGAAATTGCTCGATGATATTACACCGCAGTAAGTCTATCACCGAATCATAATTTCACGATTGTTTTTTCCTCTTATATTTCCATACAATCGTGATTGGTATTTGTCAAGCGAAACGATTAGCTGAACACGTATACAATCTTCAAAAATCTGAGTTATTTTAGGTACTTTAGCGGATTTTTTGAATACAACTTTTTTTTTTCATCGATCCTATCGTCATTGTTCTCAATTCATGTTTCTCACATTATTTATAATGTAAAAATAATAGAAAGTAATTTGACAGCATAAAAAAATTTGGTAAGCGATGTCCCGATTTTTAATGCGTTAAGATGGGACCTTTATGCTCTCTCGAGAGAATCAATGTCGAAACATGTCGATGTTTATAATTATCTTTAAGACACTTATACATACTTATCTTTGAGATGAATCGCTAAATGTAATCTTAGTACCCGGAGATCTGTCGACTAATGCGCTAATTTTTAGTGCCTGTGACATAGCGAATAATCGAAGGTAGCGTCAATTAATCACGTTTAATCGAAACATTTTCGATCAAACCAAATGAAGTTTAGAAATAAATTAAATTACCGCGTATTGTAATCTTTCAGATCTATCGAAGAAATTCCTATTTATAATTACATATTTACGGATAATCCAATCAATTTTACAGAATTCAATCATCCATCAATATTCGTCTTATCATCTTTTATAGAAAAAATGTATTATTAGACTAAAATAAAAAAAATGGCATGCCGTATACTTTCTTGTTCAAGGCTGATTAATTAGGCTAATAGTTTCTAATAGTTCTTATCATTGCAATTTGATTCTACAAAATTATAGATAACATAATTACAAATTATAGACAAATATACATAAATATTCTAAATATATATAGACATATATACATAAATATAGACAAATAATAGATAAATATTCTCTCTCTGAATATGATTTTAGTAATGCTCAGATTACCAGAAAGTTTAATAGAGGCAATTTTTACAAAAATGCTTTTACAGATCTAAAAATAACACAAACTAGTGTTCATTCTTTCTTATTCGACTTTCTAAGTTCGAACATGGGATTAGCATTGCTTCACGTTTTTCGACATTTCATCGAAAACAAAACTGATCTTTCCCTAGATCAATCTTTTTATTAGACAGTTTTAACGCTTCGAGTCCGCTAACGTAGTCTTATGTCTTGATTATCAGCAAAAAGTGAAAACGCAGTGTTACAACATTTATTTTCAGATTTTTAAAAAAAAATCATAGATGTAAAGTTCAATATTTTATCGAATTGCATTATATCGAAAGAACATTATTATTAAAATATTAAATTTTTATTGGTAAATTTTTTGTTCAATTTTGTCTAATTCGACTTTGGAAACCTTTTACTAAACCATTCTTTTTGATTGTTTTTTATAAATTTGGAAACGTATTTCATTGCAATTTTTTACATGACTTCCATCAAAGTCATTATATAAGAGAAGTAGAGAATATTTTCCGTCTAAATATTAATTTTAACGTTAACTTTAGAAAAGACACAGAAAACAAACAATTGAGGATCGTACTTTCTATTATGCTTTACTGCTACCACTTTCTAATGCGGTTTATTAGAAGGAAGAAGACTTTTGAAAATTCTTTATCAATTTTTGACTTCTTAAATGTATCTATTAAATGTATTAAATATAAATACTATTCAGTGAAGACATAAAATCATAGAGTTGAATGAAAATCTAATCACAAGATAAAAATAATAATCGATTGTAAATGAAGGACTCACCGAATTTTCGACAATTACTTCCATTCGTTTAGAGACACTTTTAACTTTTTTCCTACGAATCAAAACGTAAATGCAGTTTATGCCAGGACATCCTCGTAATAATTTTTCAATCAACATTATTCTGATAAAACCTGTACCGCCGGTTATAAAAAGATATTGATTTACGTAAAAAGTTTGTATCGTCGTTAATTTGTGGATGTTTTCAACTGAAGATAGCGTTTCATTTGGCGAATATTTGTTCGATGTTCCAAGCTTCAAATTCTTTTTCGCTACAGCTGTTTCTTGGTCATTCTCTTTTATTTACACATCCATCATTTCTGTTCCTTCAAATCGCTCTGTAAACAAAAATATTAACATATATTTTTCGATCGTTCTTTTTCTAATTTTTAGCACGAGTTCTTCCACATTTCTCTTATATGTAGGCCGATAATTCTATTAAAAAAAATATTATAATCGAACCTTCGAATAATATTCAAGCATTCTCCAGTCCCACGTGATTAACTGATTTTTGTTCATATAATCAAGCTATCACAATATCTTAATTAATACCGATTGAATGAAAAAAGATCATGGCTGTTATTACATGTATGCTTCTATAATATTCTAGGCCACTAATTCATTTATAATATTTTAAACTGATAAAGGTGTAATTAGAAAATCGTTTGATCTGTGATCAGTTGAAAATAATTCGTTACCTCCATATGTGTGTCTACTTATATACATGCGTATTTATATATGATCGAACCGTTATTCAAGTGCGCCAGAATGTAAAATAATTTGCCAACTAGAAAGTATTAAATAAAATCTCGCAATATATCTTTGAGGTGTTCACCTTAATCGTTTGTCTTAATATGTTTTCTTTTCTAACAATGAATAAATAAAAGATATGATTTCCAGTGGTCAGAATTCACCTTGAATTTATTCCATAGATAAATCGACACGTATGGTTTCACCAGATCGAGCAAATAATAGATGGGAAATTTGATTTGTATCGCCACTAGAAATTCATTCATAATTAATACATATTTTATTTTGCGTTTACGTATAACAACAAAACGAATATGCAAGAATTATATATTTAAATACACTTATACATAAGAGGATTAAAGCAGGAATATAGTTAACACTCAATGTGGTCTAAAATGATCGGTTAGTCGTATTATATTAATTACACATACTAATGGGGTATATATCTATGTACACAGCCACTGACAATATACTTGTTAGCGAATATTTTAATATTTTTCAATCTTGGATATTCGTCGCAAGTGCAGTCTTATTAATTTCGTGCAATGTAGAAATAATGGAAAAGTGATTTATTTTTCATTTATATTTCATTTTATTTATAATTGATGCTATTTCAAATTCTATTCCTTATTTGGGATTTATATTGTATCTAATGGTAACAGTACCATTTAATTTGTAATTATTTGAAGCCTTAATATTATATAGTAAGGTTTCATACTTATTATATTTATTAATAAGAAGAATGCTTATAATTATAGTAAAAATTGTTTGATCAGAAACAATTTGATTTTCATGTGACAATCGTATTGTTTGACTTCTACATTGTTAAATTTTCTATCGATGTAAAATAAAAATTATGATATTTTTAATGAACATATGAATTTTACTTACTTTCAGAAGTATTTACCATTATGCAGAACAAGAATGGATTATGTAATCCACGAAGTTATCAATATTAGTCATCTACCAACGTTACTCGAATGAATCTTACCGTTCCACTGAATTTTATTACAGGAAATAGTTATCTTTTATATCCACCGTTTAATCTATCTAAACTTGACACAATAACGTATAGATTTAAATTTATAATTTTATTTCAATGGGTAAAACTATGTTCATAAAATTTCAACAATTATGCTTGCAGTACATCTTAAAAAGTGCAAAGTTATTCGATTAAACGATTAAATTGATAAATATTTTAAAAGTACTTTGATCTACCTTTTAATACCTATTCTTTTACGTACAATTGCTTTTACGAATAATTTTAACTGTAATAAAGGTAGTTTTGAAAGTCATATCTCTTTTTAAAATAGGGGTGAGAGCAACGGAAGTCACTTAGATGTCATTTTACGAGTCGTATTTAAAATACTGTATATTCCATCACCTATTATTTTTGAAGCATTCATATTTATTCATATATATATATATATATATATATATATATATATATATATATATATATATATATGTATACCGAGTTATTTAATAAAAATGGGACGAACTTAAAAAATGGTAATATATTCTAAGATAAACATTTTTCGTTCATAGCTGACGAAACCACAAATTAAACATTAAGGTTATAAGTCTTAAGGGAGCTGCTGCTATGTATCATTTAGTTAATTCAAATTTATATCTACTCGGTTGAAGAGAAACAATACGTTTTTTTTTTGTTTAATCTAATCTAAGGAAGTGATTTTATACTTTTACGTAAATTCTTTTAACCCGAAATATACGACCTTTTTAATTACCATCACACGTTACATTACAAACGCTAACAGATCAAACGATTTTTTCATTATTTATAATTTTACAATATTATAGAGGCATAAATGTAAGAACTGATTACTTTTTATCCAATCGGAGTTAATAACGATCTTGTGGTCGCTCGATTATACAAAGAAAAATAACGTCATAACATTGTAAAATGCGTAAATAATATTCGAATATATTTTTTTTTTAATTGTTTTTTCTAATAGAATCATTAATCAATCTTCAATCACACTAATGTGAGGTGAATGGAAAAATTCGTTTCAAAAAATAGAAAAAAGAAACAATCAAAATGAATCAATCAAATTAATGAGATAAGAATTTTTTAATATCTTCAGGTTTATGTACATCTATAGGTTTGTAGATCGATCTGGAAAAGCAGAAATGATGGGAATGACGATAAATTCGGATGAACAGGAGAAAGCTGTTGCAACGAGTTAATTGAAATTGAACACTTTGACCGAAATTACGCTGATTAATTTAGTGTTAAAAATTATGGTTTAATAGAATTCTTTCAAAGTCATATTTCTCGTATAGTAACACAATTATGAGCGTCATTTGTCTTTCGAGAGACTCAGATCAATACTTCATATAATTTTCAAGTCTATAGTTAAATTCTGCAAAATGCAGCTATACAAATTCGTACAAATATAAAAAAAATATGCTTCTTGATATCATACTTATAATTATTTTTTTTTTAAAGTGTTGACATGATTAAAAGAAAATTTTTTTATCCCCATTAAAGGAGGGAATTAATGTATGAAAATAAACTTAAAGACGTTGAAGTGGATTTTTAACAAACATATAGATCACAAGCGTATAGAGTCGATCTAAAGAAGTTATATAATTTTTCGTGAACAAGGTAGAAAATAATTTTTCTACTTCATATTGATATCTAATATATTACATACTGATATATATATATATATATATATATATATATATATATATATCTAATAGTCAGACTTTTATAGAAAAATATATGAAGAAGCATAATAAAAATTTTCCTCAGTTACTATATTTATTATCAACAAAACATATGGAAAAATTAAAATATGCGTCCATGGCTTTTGTCAACTAATTCAAATTTCTGTATCGATATTAATTCCTAAATATTAAAATACCTTACGGAATAGCCATTTGCCGTCTTACCTCTGACTTAACAGTTAATAATTTTACTATAAAAAGTTTTCCCTTCATTATTTTCGAAATTAAATGTAAGATGGTAAACTTTCTGTCAAGATATTGTAAGGTAGTCAAGATGCCGGTTTTAAAAGATTAAAATCTAAAAATCTAACACGATATAAATTTCATTATTTCTCAAGTTCCTGTAACCTTATTTTAACAGTTTAAAAGATGGACTGGGTTAAATTAAAATGAAATATTCAATTTCAATTACAAATTATTCAAATATAATAGGAATTATTTGTAAATGAAAATAAGGTAATAATATCTAAAAATTATGAAAATGAAGAAGATGATTGTAATCATAATTAACATGAAAATATATTTATTATCACGATTTTTAAGAAAGATACTTTTTTATACAACTTTGAAATCCAATCCGCATTAAGTACTATACCCTCATTTGAAATAGAATTCGCTTAAATCTACAAATATCAACAGAGTACAGAGTACAAGTTTATTTTCAGGCGCAATTATTAGCATTCATATAAAGAATTATGTAGAGAAGATCTTAATATTATTTACACAATAATAATTAGACTATATTGATATCAATTTCAAACAAAAAAAAAACTTCTCAAAGCTGTATTGTCACTCTCCTTAACGTCAGTTGTTTATTTTACCCATATTCGAACGTTAAAAGTGTCTGAATATCATGACCCAAGTTATCATAAGGAATACACAGACGATAAAAAGTTTTAATGCTTGATGTATCCAGTAAAGTCTTAAAAATTAAAAAGACAAGTATTATTTGAAGGTCATTGTGAATAATAGACGATCAATGAGAAAGAAGATACCTTTGCCATTTCATACGAGCTTGTGGAAGAGTTTCAATGGGATCCTTTAAGATGTACATTCTTATGCCTAGAATGTAATTTTTAAAGTATGTATCCCAAATGAGATTCCTTATATCACAGAAGAAAAATTCGCGATCTTCCGTCGTTAACTTACTTAACAGTTCGTTCCATCTTTTATTATTAAAGTTAAATTTGGTAGTGGCAAAATAATTGAATATGTTCACCAGTGTATAAATTTTTTTATACATTTTGAGTAACCTTAAACATAGTTGTACATTTGTTAAAAATTGTATGATCGTTGAAAAAATAGGTGCCGCATATAAAAATAATTAAAGTTATAATTAAAGAAAAGAAAAATATATGAACATTGGAAACTAAAAGAGTTAATAATTGTTATAGAAAAAATACCAGTCTGATAGATGATAAGGAAATAAATACAGCAATTGTGCCAAGAAAAGGAACTCAAAGATCGGCTACTAAAAGAAAGGAGATGGGAGATTCAATTTTGTTATCAGAATTTTACGGACTATTACGGAACATGACAGTAACTAAGAACAAGACACCTCGAATTTCTAACGGCTTTTTGGAAAAGGGGAGATACAATTATGACAAATGGTCTTTCATTCAGTTCGTAAGATGCATGATACTGGCGAAGTATTATATGAATAATGTGATTATCATTATGTACTTAAGAAAAGAAGGTGCTGACAAGGGTATAAATAACCGCATTGTTAGCCTAGATATTCAATCATGTACCATTTTGATACGAATTAATTATAGATTAATGGGAAGACAAGTTTAAACTAAATTGTTTGATGATCAGTTTTTTCTTCGAAAAATTGTCGAAACATGCGAACCATTGCTAACCCTAGACGAGAACTTAGAAAGCTCAACAAGGCCAAACAAACGTTTTAAGGAATTTTTAGATTTGAAATAAGCTGATTAAATCGAATTTTTTGAGAATCTGAGAATGACATCAACCACAGGATGCATCGAACTCGAAAAAAAGATAAGAAAAAATTACCTTGGCTTTTTACCTATACATAACGAAATCGTATCGATTATAATAGCTGGTAGTATATGTAGAAAATACATGTAGATAAGATAAATTGGTCGATATTTTATATTCCAAAAGCTTATGTACCAAATTGCTTCGTTAGTCGGTAATAATTCAATATTCTTCCTCGACATTTTTATGAATTCCTCATAAGTGATTGGATTATCCATAGATGTGTAATTATAAATAGGAATTTCTTCGATGGATCTGAAAGATTACAGTAAGCGGTAATTTAATTTTTTCTAATCGTCATTTGGTTCGATCGAAAATACTTCGAATAAACGTGATTAATTGACGCTACCTTCGATTATTCGCTATATCCCATCCACTAATGATTAGTGCATTAGTCGTCAGATCTCCGGGTATAATGTTTACATTTAGCGATCCATCGCAAAGATGAGTTCGTATTATTCCCATTATTGCACCTGCTGTAATCCCCACTAACCCGTTTATATTATCGGTCCATCCTTGTGTAGGTTCTATATACGTTGGTAACACTAAGAATATCAAATTAATTATTATGTATTATTTATTATTTTGTTCTAACAGAGTCACATTATTACCAACCGATTCCTGGACGAAATATTCCAATCGGCATTAAGCCAGCATGTCTTTTTACGATATTCTCGGCGATTGATTTCGTATAAACATATGTATTCGGCCATATTCCAAGTAAGCTAATACCAGTAATAAGATTCAATTTTTAATTGTCGGTTCCGTAACCAGTCGTCTTAATATATTTTTAATATATTCACGACCGGAAATGTAATTACAAAGTGTCATTATAATATCGATAGATGGACAAACGTAACGAAGTTCTAGCGATAATGGCATTGACAAAAATAATGAATAGCCACAAAAAATTGCAAATCTTTGATCTATCAAGTAGATTTTTCAAATGAAGTTATATAACTAAAGAACATTATTATTAAATATTAAATTTAAATTGTTAATTTGTTTCTTCAACTTCTTCTTAACTTTGTTAAATTCTATTGTCAAATATGTTCAACGGTGATATTATTTTTTAATTCAATAATGAATCGTAATTTGTGTTATGATTAGATACAACGTAAAGATAGTATTCAAAAAGAATTTGAAAAAATGTTATCGAATTTTAC